CCCCCCCAATTGCTCTGGACTAATAGGAACCTGCTCCCTTGTACAGCACTGGTCAGACATCTTTACTTTCTACAGCGCTTCACACCAGTATAGAAATGTTTAAACGCTTACAGAAACATTTGCTTCTCTCTTACTTCTCCTGCTTATTTTGTCCTTTTTGCCGGTTTTCTTGAAGCTGTAGGTACTGAAATGTGAAATTCCAAGCCCTTGAGCTGTACGTCATGTAGCCGTTTAACATGGGTATGGGACTCTGTACCTCCTTAACTAGTGAATGAACTGTAATGTACTAAAAATTTAAATAATGTGACAGTTGTGACTATTTCCTTTCTTTTGTTAAATCTAAAAAAGTGGGTGCTTTTTCAACTTAAAAATCCCAGTAGAGAAATTTCAGTGTCATGACCCGACCTACATGACCCATGACTTTTGTAATCTGTTAGCTCATGGGATTTTTACTTACACAAAAATGTTGAGGGCAGAAAGAAAAATGATTGGTTCAGAGATATAACCAGATTATAGAGGCGGCTGGACTAGCCCATCAGATGTCTTGGATCCAAGCAACTAGAGGAGGTGAGACCACCTCCTGTACAATCTGATTGGTTCAGAGATATAGCCAATCATTTTTTCCATCCGCCTCAGAACATTTTTGTGCAAGTAAAAATCCCACAAGCAATCTGCTATAGCTCCACCTGAAAGTAAGATTGCAAAAACAGCCAGAGATGTCAGTTCAGAATCACGCAAGGACGCTGTGCGTTTTCCTTTGGCCATCGCTGCAGTACCATGTATAGCCACTGGGTGTCAACAAGGCACCAAAGGGACAACCAGTTTTCAACAGAACTAGCTGAAGCCCAGCATAGAAATGCTAATGCTCAGGCTAAAAATAAAATAAATATAGTTCTGGGATGTCTGCACAGCAAATTTTGAGCCACTTTCATTGTTAAAAATAACCAGATTACTTCACATTTTACGGACTTCGACACACACAATGCGTTCCGGCGTAGTTCTGTGATCTATTTTAATTGAAAGTGAGAAGACAGAACTGAATGTAGCCATTTCTACAACAGAAGCTGCTCTAAAACCACCATTCCACCCACAGAATAGAACGCGTTAGAAAACAGGCTACTCTAGCACCTTGTGTAGCTCAATTGGTTGAGCTACATCTGAGTGTTGAAGGTTATGGGTTCAAATCCCACAACTGCAATTATCCTAGACTTTTAAGCAGATTGGACTCTGACTGCCGCCTTGGTTAAAAGCATTAACCAAATAAATGGGAAACGTGATTTGCCACAACAAGGAACTCTACTAAAGACGCAGCAGGAAATAATAAAAAAAAATTACTTAAGTAGGTGGGCTTCAAGCCGATTTAAATATATCCAAGGCCTGCTTCTTCATACATGGCATATACTGACCAACTCCCATTATAGCTCAGAGAACTAATAGCACCTCCATCTGAAGGGGAAAATAACACAATATAGCAAGGAGGAATGAAGCTGATGCTTTGGTGATACGACCCACACACACACACACACACACACACACACACACACAGACCATCCTTTGAATCACAGGTTATTCAGTGTTTGTCTTGCTGTATTTAATGTGGTTCAACTTAACAGAGGACGGAGAAATGAACGGACCGACGGAAAAGCACAAGAAACCGGCAAAACAAAAGGGTGTAGCCAAAGGGCTTGGTTCTTGAGAAGTTTGATCCTCTGCAGCCACCGTCTGACCCACTGTAGAAGAGTATGAAGCCCCGCAGGTGCACCACCCAAATGTCTACAAACTACATCCTGTTCCACCGAGTTGGGCTGTACAAAAGACCTGCAGCATAAACACTTAAATATTTAATAAAAAAAAATATAAATAACCCAAAAACTGGAAACTCACCCAGTGTAATCTGCAATCAAAAACAGGTCAAAATAAAAACAATCACTTTATGTTGATTTTCTTTTTTACTGGAAAATAATACTTTAAAAAATAAAGTTGAAAACCAAATGAAAGTACTATTGGGTAATTGCCAGGAAAATCTCTTATGTAGGTATGATGGGCCGGAGGGGGACACACGGGGTCTCCTTTAAGACATATCGGCCGTTTTCGAGGAATTGGCTTGACTTCTCCTCTTGACATCCCAGTTGTAGACACGCGCCATATCTAGGAAGGATCATGGGTCAAGGGTAATTGTGAAACATAGGTGTCGAGTAAGCCTTGACCTTACGGAACGCCTCCGAACTGGAAATGCTGGTAGCTTTTAACAGAATTTCTACCGCGACCAATCTGAGGGAACGAATCTTCATCAGCTGACAGCAAAGCGACTAAATATTTTGAAATGCAGATACGGAAGAGAAATCACGCTGAAGTTCTAATTTCGTCGTTATATTTCAATGCGAAAACGGTAAAGCAAGCCTTGTCAGGAAGGGAAAAGAAAGTAAACCTCATTTTAGCCAAACCAAGGGTGCCCCATGAGAGTATTTCATGTTGTGCCCCCACAACACAGACCAATCCAATTACGGTGCAAATTTAAGGAATCTTGACCCACCTCCCAGTGCCCCTGAGCCACACTCACCAAAGTCAAAGCCCCACCCACCCAAACTGGGGCCCCCAGTGAAGGATACTGACTTCTGTAGTGGTAAACTGGTCCCTAAGAAAATCGAGGTCTTCCTCTAGAGAGTCCAAGTTCCGGGAGGCGGTGCTCAAGTTCTTCTCCAGTAGGGACTGTGCGTCGTCGATGTCATACTCCAGCATCACGTTCGCCTGGGAAACGGCACAAGGTCACTGCACACATTTTGGCGACTAGCATTCAAATCAACAGCCTACAACAGAAAGTTACTTCAAGGGGTAACTTGCCTTCAGTACAATTACTGCAATAGAAATACGCTCAATGGAAGGTTACTATGTAACAAACCACAGGCATTATGGAGGCCTGCCAGTACAGAACCAGGCATCAGTAGTTATCAGATAGCAACAACTCACTTGCTGTGGTATAAAATGTCATTTTTATCTAGCAACACAACACAAAGCCTCATGTCCACACCTCCTTCGGTCCTACTTACCCCCAACCACAGGCACACTTTGTCTGTGGGGGGCACAGAAGCCTTGCAGTACACATTGTCCGCCAACAGGAAGCGAGTCTCCATAGGGTCTGTGCTGTCCTGGAAGAGAGAATTTCAAAGTAAGGCTGACTGATAACAAGCCTGGAAGCGGGGCGGTGCAAACGCAGAGAAAAAGCTCCACCGAACCTCACCTTCTTCGTCTGCATGTGCCTCAGGATCTCTAATGTCTGCTTGATTTGCGGGATCTGGTTTTTCAGCCTGGAAACAGTATGGGAACCACAGTCACCCATCCCAATATCAGCCATCAGATGACTTCATTAGCCATGCAGTTTTTGCAACATGAGCAATAAGCAGCATGTGCTTACTCAGCAGACAGCCACTGCATACATTACTTTGCGATTACATTTGGCCAGTGTCTCAGAGCAATGCCTTCTGTCGATCCGTGGTCTATACTTCCCCAGGGAAGCACATACCTCAGCTTTTTCTGAGCCAGGTTGAGCTCCATATACTTGTATTTCTGGTACTGTTCGTCCAGCCTCCTCAGCACGACGTCAGCCGTCTCATTGCCCGGCTGCTTCATGAAGGAGTCTACATCCTCCTGTAGTGGAGAGGAAATGCACGTCTTGGCACCAAAGAGGAACTTCACAAATTAGGCCAGTAGCATAGCCAACAGTAAAACACCCAGATCTCACCGTTAAAGACCACACAGAACGTAGTCAGTTCGGAGCAAGACTATTATCCTTGATATTATTAATTACTTAAAACGCCAGGAACACTATAGAAGCCCCATACATTTCCTTATGACGTTGAGAAAATGCTCTAAAAGCCATCAGCGGCCAGTTTAACTATAGCATTCAGCATTTAAAAAACTGAGCAATAGTATCATCAAAATCACCATGAAAATTAAACTTGGAGCATCGCAGAGACAGTTTAGCATTAAAATAAACGTTATCTTCCCCGACCTATTCACGCTCATTCCCGTTTAAAGGGTAACGCTAACGCCGAGCTGCCGAGTTCGCGTTTTATCGAAGGCAGATTACAGAGCATAATTCGGATCACATAAGTATAAAAATGTTAACACGTCGGTTTCGCGGCGGAAAAAGGCGCAGCCCACTTCAGACACCGCTAGTCTCTTCAAGGAAAACGGCTACCATTGTCACGCTAAAACCACGCTCGCTGCCTTAAAAGGTTAGCAGCCCGCTCCTGCTGGCGTCTGCAAACACAGCTCGGCTGAATTTTGCAGCCGTTATATCACTCATGGTCTCCCAATTTAAAAAACGTCTTGGGATTAAATTAATCTCAGGGGATTATTCACCCACCACAAACACAGCCTCGGGAATGCCGAGATGTTTCTTCTTATTCCCTACTGCAGCGGCAGCGCTCTCTATGGTCGTCGCCATCTTGAAAAGACTCACCACTCCCTCCTTACGTAAAAGCCGAGCGCCGTCGGTGCAGGGAGCGCGCCGCGGACGCGCGCAAGAGGGCCGTGCTGCGTCGAGGATGACGTACTCCAGGGTGGAGCCGCTGGCTTCAGAAAGATTTAAGGTTATACGGTGGAGTTCTGTTGATGAGACCACTGGGAATATCAAATCTACTGTGTTAGGAAATGTCACTTTATGTTGATAACCAAATGAGCAAGTCTGTTGGCTCCCTACTTATTCAGATTTATTTGGAAAAAGAAAAAAATGTTTAAATGTGTACTCTGGTAAAAGGCTATAATGTACGTATTTGATTGTCATTTTTATTACTGACTTTCCTTGGTCGCTGATTTAATTTAACATTTCCTCTCTCATGCAAGTATAAATGTAATAAACTACTTGTCAAATATGTTAATATTTTCACTTGCAAGTGCTTGATTACTGAAAAATTGCATTTAAGCATAATTTCTCACCCACACCTGCAGGGAAATTTCATCTTCAAGAAGCACTAAAATCTAACCCTAATTTAAAACTTTTCGGTTTTCGTAGCAAATTCCGTTTGCTTCTATAGAAGACATATCAATATATTTAAATGGTAAAACCTCCAAAACTTTTATATGCAAAAGAATATTGTTGACAAACTGTTTTTGGACATATCCTCCATGATAAGGTGATTATTGTGCATGTTATTTTTGTCATTGTGGCCAATTTTTGAAAAGTGTTGTAAGTATCTCGTTGCACCCAGAATACACATTAAAGAGTCATAAATGTCGTTTGGGCAGAACCCACCTTTAAAAATAGCAGGTTTGTGAACAGGAGACCTGCAGGACTAGAGCTGATAGGTTTAAAATCCAGTGCCATAAGATTTAATGGAACGATTGTCGTAACTTACTGTTCATGGCAAAGTCATCTTTTCTGGACTGACAGATGTGTTGGTGGAAATGTATTCTGGAAGCTGACCTCCATTCCTGATCACCAGAGAACACCAGTAACTGCTATCTGTGACTGATCGGTGCCTAAAATTTGAAGTTTTAATATTCATCAATAAATAATAGTCTAATTATTTCATGCAGATTTCAAATAATAAACCATAGCCATGTATTGAATAAGCACTAAGATGATCTAAGAATGGATGCATATGGTAATAATCTACAAAAAAACAGACAACAACTGTAATAGGCAATCATATAGTTTATTAAAATAGAGAAAAGCATTTTTAAAACAATTGAAATACTCCTGCTTGGAAGCAAGACGCTGTTATTGCATTTGTGAGAAAGTCAGTGGTTCCTCAGTTAGAGATTCTAATGTGGTTGGATTGTGCATGTGATGAGCATCTAGGTAAGGATCACAGGAAGACCATCTCATCGACTGCAGGCGCATAGAGCTGTGGATGTGGCTCACAGGCAGACCAGTCCATAGGCATGTTGGTGACTGGTAGGCCAGTCCACCGGCATGGAGATCACAGGTAGTCTGACTCAGGGGATCATTGCTAGTTTGGGCCAGTGGTTCTTTGGATCACATGGGAACCATCATTTCTGAGAAGCTTGCATCATATGCAGTTTACATAGAAAAAATTCTGCATGCCCTAACTTTGCTATATGACGTAGTTGCTTGGCAGATCTTATTATCCAATGCAGGAGAGAATGTGATACATATTAGCATTTTGTAGCATAATATACAGCTGGATGTTTTACTAAAGCATTTCAGGTTCCTCATGGGTACAACAGCAGAGGCCCTCCTGGAAAATGTGCCAGTCCCAGTTGCTTAGCCACCCAAGTTTTCGCACCGTGTAAACATTCCTAAAAACCAAATAGCATCCTGACTTTGAAAATATAAAAACCGGATTTCTGTCAATGCACCAACACACACCCACTGCATTATGCACAAACATACACAGCACTATGCAGAAACACACACCCACTGCACTATGCACAAACACACACACAGCGCTATACACAAACACACACTCACTGCATTACGCACACTAACACACACTCACCCCCCCCTCCCATCTCCCTTATGATCAGTTTATCTACAGACGCCTCAGATTCACATTACGCATCAAGAAAAGGCCTCGTAGCACAGGATGCAATGAATGTGACCGGCTCTTTGTACACCCCAGGCGATTGGCGAGAGAGACCGTGTCTGAGTGGCACTGTGGCTCCGATGTGGAGAAAGGTGGATGTCCAGGATCCAGGGAGGAAGGCTTCCCGTAAACAGGAAAAAAAAGTGCTTCTGCCAAAATGCAGCTGGCAGGCCAGTCCATTTGAGCATGGAGTTACGGCGAGAAAAACAGAAAAAACTGGGGCGTAGAGTCAAAACCCCACATTCAGCCATTCCTGACTCTTATTCAGTTTCAGAATACATTTTTCCACTTCAGCAATGATGCCTGATTTGATCCAAACCTTGTGGTCACATAGCTTCTTAATCTAGTTCATTCTGGCTTTCAAAAAAGCTCACTGCAAATTCTACCTTTCGGGCCCACAGTTAAGCTGCAGTGTGGCATTCCATTTCAACCACCCCCCCCCCCCATATAAACTCTACTTTCTGAATCCAGTGCCCCCCTCCCACCACATCCAATTCAGTCCTGACTGCAGTCCACGTGATTACCATGCACCCAGTAGCAAATTTGGGCGAATTTCAGCGGGGTGAAGCGCACGGCCACATTGAAATCGCGATTTTCGCCATCGATCTCCAGCCACTGGTGGCCGGAGAAGACGCCGATGACCTTACGCTCCCAGCGCTCCAGGACGCGATCCCACACCCGGCCGTACACCCCTGAGCCACTGGCCCCTGGCCGGGCGTCACAGTGCTGGTAGATCAAGTCGTTTGACTCGTCCTCCACGGGACAGAAGCGGTACACCAGCTCCCCTGGTCGGTCGCTGTCGAACCCGGAGAAGTGGATCCGGCGGCCTGCCAGGTTCTTGGAGGATGGCGCCACCGACAAGCGCATGAAGGGACGGCGGTGAGGCCAACGCAGCTCCAGCAAGGCATAGTCGAAATCCATGCTGGCATCCTGTGGCCCTTGAATCCAGCCCTTGGGGACCCGGGTCCGTCGAACCCGTACCCAGCGCACCAGGGGCTTCCCGGGGCGGCTGCTGTTGGCAGGTGGCGGCACCAGGAAGCCCACTCTCAGCTTGCGGGCCCCTTTCACATAATCCTTCCCATCATGCACACAGTGGGCGGCAGTGAGCACGTGTCGCTGGGACACCAGGACACCCGTGCACCCCGTCGAGATGCGCACCGCTGTGGAGAAGGGGTAATCCAGCAGGAAGTGGTCGCCACGGATGTTGAAGCGGCCATCGGCACCATAGATCTGCCGCTTCCGCCTCTGGCGCCGAGTGGCAAAGATTTGGTTGCCCCTTGTGGTGGGAGGCTGAACTGCAGTGCTCTGATTAACTTCATCCCCATCCCTGACCTCTAGGTCAATGGTGGTCAGCGTGCGGGAGCCATCGGAATACAGTGTCTCAAACGCAAGCTGCTCAGTCAGTACCTCTGGCCTGAACTCCTTGTGGTAGCAGCTGGCGGTGCAGTGGGTGCTGAAATCCAGCTGGGCCTGAGCACTGAAGCGAGAGCGGGACAGAGATTGGGGGGTGTGGGTCACCAGGGATGGGAGGTGGGCTCGGTGTGGATCGGGGGGCCCTCGGAATGGCACTGCAGGGGGGAACAGCAGCAGGAGCATGTTGGAGAAAAGACAGTAGCTGGCAACTCCCTGATGTGCTGTCATGGCTGGGTTGACGCTGACCTGGAATTAGGGAATGAAGTAAATAAAATGAACGTCATGTGACAGCCTTGGGCAGTCATGGTTACAGACACACTGCAGGGACTCTGTTCTAAGGCCTGAGTCGCCCCACCGACATACCGAGCTGCACAAGTAGCTCAATCTGCAAGTCACTGCGCAGAATCTACACGCAAATTGAACTTGACAGCTGACAGCAGGAGCAGTTCATCGTTTCGCCTGCAACCACTCCTCAGATCCCCAGGAGACCCCGGCATGGCGGTTAGCCGCGGTACGCCAGCCAACTCCCCCACCGCCGCCATATTCAGCTCAAAGTACAAAAACAAATAAAAGTTTAACCTTCCCTAGACACTCCACTGCAGACGCTTGTCTCGGCCACAGGAGGGCAGTGATAATATGCATAATGAGCCGCACGCGCACAGACAGACGCACACAGACGCGCGGAACACATGAATCCACTTATCCCTCAGTTACAACACACACTTTCCAGAGTAGTCCATTGTCTCAAAACACTATTTGATAAATAAGCTTTTCCAACCGACTTGTTATTAATTGGCAACATGCGAAGAGATTGCCCTTCCCAAGCTGGATGGGTTCTCTCCATCGCACCGGCAGACTCCACGCATTACAGGTGGACCCCCCCTGGGGGAGGGGGCATATGCGCCTTAGGTCCTTGCCGTTCCACGCCCACACGGCGCCGCTTCATATCGCTGCTCGGGCCTGAGTTTCGCCTCTTTACGTCCTCCCAGACCAACAAAGCCGTCCTTGTTCGCCCCCCCTCCCCTGGGGGGCCCCCTTTCCATCAAACCTGACCCAGCTCACGAGCGTCGATCTTGGGGGGGGAGTATGACTGGGAGAGTCACGGCTTGCCAATGGATCGAACCCCCCACTGCAACGATGGGGAGGGTCTGGCCTGGGGCTCCAAGGCTTCAGGGGGTGGGAAGTGAGGAGACCGAGCCCATCTGGATCCCCTGCGTGGAACAGCGGAGGTCTGTCGGTCCCCCTGAACCCACATTACACACGCGCTGTGCATGATCCCGCAAACGTGAGGCCGCGTGTGAGTGTGAGTGTTAACGTGTTTGCGTGCTTGTTTTTTTTGCGTATGAGAGGGAGACTTTGCTGAGATGTGTGTGCATGTGTGTGAGAGGCTGGGATGTCTTCGGGGGGCGTTCATGTGCCCTGGGGTGGGGCGGAATCCGGCGGCATGCGGCGCAGCGCCTGCGTGCGTTAGTGTTACGAGGTCCTCAGCTGCACATCCTTGTGTGTGGTGCACTGGCAGAAACCAGGGGAGGTGGGAGAACTTCTAAGTCTCTGAAATTTTAGCCCCGCCCCCCAGAAACTCTAAGCGTCTGTACCCTCCCCATCCCCGCCCCCCAAAATCCCCCAGGGACAAAGGCAAGAGCAGGTGCCTAAAAGCTTCCCAGAGCAAGCTGAGGCAGGGAGCCTCTCGGGATCTGACGAGAGGGGCCGCGCCACGTCCAGAGCACCCTCCCAGACTCGGCCCGCATCCCTGAATCTGCAGCAACTGAGCTGGGGGGAGTGGCTATATGGGGGGCACATGCCCTTTATGCCACGTGTGGGTGGGGTTTCCTTCTGCTCGCTGCTGTCTTTGTTCTGTAAACAGAGATAAGGCATTTATGTGACCGGTGTACGGTGGCACGTGATTGGTCCGGAGTGAACAATGGAAATCTGTAAGTGCAGCTTTGCAGTTATGGTTCTGTACTCCCACAGACAGAACAGAACCTAGAAGATCTAACCACAACAAAAGTGGGATATTACACCTGGTGCCAAAGGATTGACCTCTTTCTGAAATATGCCAACCAGCCAGATCACGGTGACACTATAACAGGTGATGCTGCTCTTGTCCGATTCGGTTCAGGTGGCGAGTTCAGCCCAGTAGATCTAATACATGAATTTGCTCGACCCAAACAGCCTGTTACACCACCTGTTCCATGACCTCTTCTGTGTGGCAGCTAATCTTTTGTCAACAAAAAGCATATTTCCCAATCCAAAGACTCCCATATCCAGCTAAAATCACAAATAGCCAAATTCCCTATTGGACCAGAGGTTTGCTTGTAAATGTGATTCTCAGACATTTTATGCATTTACAATACAATAGCGTGTCATATAAATGAGTGTTGGTGTGTGGCTTTGTGGGTTAAGCGGCATGCCTGTGACCAGAAGGTTGCTGATCAAATCCCACAGATGGCAGAGCGATTTCACTCTTGGGCGCTTGATCAAGGTCCAATGCTCCAGAGACCAGCTGACTCTCCATCCTCAGTTAGATTTCACTTTGGATTAAAGGCATCTGCTAAGTAAATGCATCATTATCTTCTAAAATTGAAATTTGCTTTACAGATAAGAAACATGACAAGGACATGAACCAGAGCTCACCAGCATTTGCTTTTAGAAAGACTCCTTAGGCTAAAAAACACACAGCAACATATCCCATATATTAGATAATCTGGCAATGTGTCTATGTGTATCCTTGCGACCACAAGCATTAGTAAGCATAACACATACAAGGATAGGAGATGTAAACATGAATGAATGAAGAAACTTAGAGAGCCCATCAGCCCTCTCTCTCTGTAACCCATCAGTCAGGAAATCCACTACTCAGCCAACAACACTTGGGTCTAACTTCAGTTTTGAGATTAATTTCTCTGCAAATGTATACAGCTGCATGCTGAGAAATGTCTTGAGAAATGCACTGAAACTTGCTTTTCTGGAAGACTTAGGGTTCTCCTGGTACAGGAACAGTAGGTGACGCCTAAAGAACACAGCATTATCTACATCCCCGTGGACCTGCCACACTTAAATGCAGTGAATCGAGTCATTTGTCAGCCTCGTGTCTTAGAACATCCTTTGCATCCCTTTATAAGTCATCACAGAAATCCTGGAATATCGCTACACCAACAATGAATGTGATTCAAACTCTCAAAACGATGGCTTTCCCCATTTGCATGGGTGAATGTTATGTTGAAGAATTTAATTATCACGCTCCAGGAATCTGAACCAGTGACTACCAGGCACCACATCACACTCCCACACACACACACAGACACAGACACACACGCACATTTAACCAGACGCCTGCATGGCACAAAACTGGGCCACGACAGCACGGAACCTCGCACAAGAATACTCACATACATGGTTGTGTCTAATGCCAAAACCACAACAACAACAACTTATGGAAAACTCTGAAACAGCCACATCCCAGCCTGCCTCCAGACCACCAGCTGGTGTTTGTGAATATGAGTGCATAAGAGTGGGATGTGGATGGTGTATTTCCCCACAATTTCAGGACAGTAATGTTTGATTTATTGAAACATTAGTGGAATTTAACAGATAATGACGGTGTTTATTTTTATCATTTTTTACAGCATTGTTTTTTTTTCTTTGCATTTAGAACCTATTGCCCTTTGTTTTGCATTTTGCAAGCATGTATTTCCATATTTTTACATAATTTTTAGAAAGGCAATTTGAATCTCTCACATAATGAGTGCCCTATTATATTAACCCCTCCGACAAAGACAACTTTTGAATACAAGAACGTGCTATCTGCCGAGGATCTTCGCTCGGCTGTTCTAACTGGTGTGACCTTGGTAAGTGGACCTTGGATAAACTATTAACATAACTAACTTATAGCCAAACCGTAAAGTTACACGTTACTAATACAGTCATTTCATTTCATTTCAAAACGGGTGATGACAGGCAACCCACGCCCCTTCCCAAGTCACAATGCAGTTTTATCATACTTCAATTCTGAATTAAAAGTTGTTTGATGACCGTTTGTACAAAAAAACGCCGTACCTTACCTTACTAGACTGTGTTAATAGGCTTATGACTATTCAACATATTAAACATATCCCTAGAATTCATCTTGGATCGCGTGAAAAATCACATGGGGTGTATTCGTAATTTAAAAAGTCAGTAATGAAGAAAAAAGTTTATTAAACATTACCGTTTATTTCGCTGAAATAAGTTTCATAAATCTTTGTAATTAAATCCCGTTCACGTTTTCCTCTTCGCAAAAAGCGCTGGGTATAGTGGCTCTCCAACAAACTTCCATCTCATTTCGAAGTATGACAGGTCTGAATTCCAGACTTTCGGCTCACCAGGAGTTCCCCTTGACTCCGCCGTACGTGTCCGAGCCGACCCGATCAGAGCCGATCTAAGCCGAGCCGAGCCGAGCCTTGTTCTCAAGTGCCTCTTATTTCGAGTCTCTGCCCCAAGTCCCGCGAAGGAGAAGCAGCCTCTTCGCGTTTATGGTGTTGGAAGCATCCCCATCCCCGCGGTCCTAGCGCCCACATAACCTCCAATTACAGAAAAAGCGACCCTTCAACCCCACGCGGTGTGAATTATTATTGGCCTTATTCAGTCCTATTATGATTTAATAGCCTTGTGCGTGAAATAAGATGTTCCCCGCCGCCGAGGAACAATTGCTCAAAAGATTTTTGTCTTAAAATAGTATCTGGGGAGACAGATAAACAGTACATTTGTCAGAGACCTAATACAGAACCAAGGTTTCAGAAAATCCCAGAGGCTATCTGAAATTCAACCTCCCAACCTTCCGTAAGGGTGTGGTATGCAAACGTGTGTCGCTGGAGGCAATGGGATCTTCTTTATACTAGATATCAGTGTGTGTTGTAGTATACCACGGACCAAGGATTCATGCTTTTAGGCTTTGGAAAAGTTTAATCTTATGGCATATAATATTACTGTCAAAATAATTTAATGCAACTGTAATGTTCAGGCTGGCTGTAATTCAAGGCAGGATCATAGAATCAGGTTGCACAAATTGTTTAAGAGAACACAATTCAGACAGGTAGGGGTGAAGGAGAGGTTAGGGCTGGTAGGTGGGGGGACCACTGTGATCACTGGGTTCCTGGGGGCAGAAGTGTTCGTCCCTATGGCCCCCTACAAAAACCAGGTCTCAAGCCCCCTGACCTTGACCTATTTCGGGTCTCTTCACACCCCTAAATGAATAGATGTGGAATTTGAAACCTCCCCCCCACCCGTCAGACTGCTCAGTCCCAGTACGTATCAGGGCGGCAGCACAATGGAGTTCTAACTGGGAGCCTCCCTGAATCTGGAATGTTCCAGACAAGAGCCAAACCTCGAACCATGGGCGATGGGGCGTCTCTGGCTCTCTAGCTCATATTCACACCTCGAAGCGAAACCAAACGCATGCCACCACCCCCCTATCCCCCCCGTCGGCATTGCATCCCCCTCCCACCAATGTTCCACACTCATCTATCTCTATTTTAACACAGAAGAATGGCCCTAAACATCTGGGAAAAGAGACGACTACTCTCTTTTCATACAGGAATTTAAGTTATTGTGACTTAGTCAGGAAAGCTGGCAGTTGACAAAAGAGAAGCACATACAAAGCATCCTCGCATCAGAGCATCCCCATAGAATTCTAATCAGAAAAACATTGATCAGTTATGAAACAAGCCACCCTCTTTGTTTCTCTATGTCAGTGGAGATCCAGCTCTTCTCTGGAACCCCTTTCGAAGACGAACTCCATGGATGCAGCGCTGGCAAGAGAGGGATTGTGGGCACTGACTCTCACGCTGAAGAGGCGTACTCTCACATGAGAAAAGCAACAGGCAACCCCTGTGGCAAGTGGGCAGAGGCAGCTTAAATATAACTTATCAGGAAAAATCCAGGCCTGACCTAACCCTTGAAGTGTCCACACCTGTTTTGCTAGGCCCCAAAGGGACTGGCATGGTCTCCCAGGTCTTGGAGGACCCAGACCTGATGTCCCAGCCCTTGAAGTAACCAGACCTGATGTCCCAGTCCTTGAAGGATGCAGACCTGATCTCCTAGCCCTTGCAGGTCACAGAACTGACGTCCCAGTCCTTGGAGGAGCCAGACCTGATGTCCCAGCCCATGAAGGATCCAGACCTGATCTCATAAAATGCCTTTTATCATTCGGGCCAATCTAGCACCGGCTTTATATTGAATGAGTATTTATTAGCTGCTCATTCTACCCCTGGGACTTAAAACATATGATGTTATTAACCTCTTTACCAAATCAACAAAAAAAAACAATAACCAATTAATCATTGTGAAAACTTGGATTTCACTATTAATACATTATTTATCTGATTGGGGAACAAAGAAAGCAATTTGCAGTCAGTTTTATAGTTTACATACATGAGTATACATTTCTCAGTGAAGGGCCGTGCATTTCCCTCAATGGGAGCTCATATTGCATCAGCTGAGACCTGGTTTGTACTTGGAACCAAAATGAGGATTCAATCTGACCTCAACAATTTCCTGAAACAGCTTCACTGATGGGGGGGGGGGGGGGCAGAGGTTCTGGATGTGCAAATGTGTGGGCCAACTGCTCCACGTCTCATTACAATAGTGTCACACTATAGCCACAGGGAGCTGAAGTCTGTAAGCCAGGGCGTGTTTGTGATCATGTGGACCAGACTGTGTGTGTTTGAGTAGAGCCATGTTGATTTAACTCTACCCCCTCACTCTCCTCAGCTAACACAAACTTATTTTAGATCTGATCAGCATCTTCACAAATTATGAGAAATGGAAGGAAAGCTTTTTGAGAGTTTTTAGGTGGGTTGGAGGGGGATCAGGGTGGTTCCGTCATGAAGGTAGCTGGCAGTAGGAGACTGTTGTGGTTAACATGTATTTTCCATCCCATTCTTGTTCTTTAAGAGTTAGTGGTTCTGAGGCCCGAATGAAAAGCAATAAAAAAACACCCTTGAGCAGGAATCCAGCTGGAATGTGGCTTCTGGGCTAATCGCCCGTCCGGAGCACAGTGGAGCAGTTGTTTTGGATCCGACCTGCTCCAGTCCCCACTCAGAGACCCCCCCTGGCAGAAATTAGCTTTTAATCCCTGTGGAACTTCTTACTGTAGCCCCCACGGTGGTCCCAGTGGTTGCCCTTATCAGATATGATAACTGGCGCCAATAATCTAACTCCCCTTCGCTTTCGATCTCTATTCACTTACCAAATGCTTTGACCAGTAGTGGTTTACATTTTGCAGATATATTCCAGGCTTCAGTGCCAGTTTCAGGTGCCCAAAGGCAGGGCTCCTCCCCATTCCACCCATGACACTCACATGTGTTTGCTTCCTAGGCCACAGCCCAGACAGGACCCCAGTACAGGAGCCCAATTACAGCCGACGAAGAGCGTACATTCCGTTCTCTCTGGCGTGTTCGGGCACGGAGAGGTGACGAGTGCATGCACGGCACACCGTCTTGGGAGAGAACCTTCTAGATCGCCAAGGAGGGAGCAGGTGGTGTGGAGATACATGAAAGAGTGATGTGTCATCGAGGGGGAACGTCAGAACCCGCTCGCGCCTGCAAAGGAACACGGTCTGCATGTGCCAGGCTCACGGGTGCTCCCAGGGACCTCAGCGGACCAGAGAAGATACAGTTCCTGGAGGAGAGGTTCACCAGGGGCTTCTGCAGATCACCCCAGCTTATGGGTCTGCATGCCAGCACCAGTGAGGACTTGGAGGCCCAAACAACACCCACCATAAGTCCCCCTAAATCCAGAACTGATTTCAGATCAGTCAGTGTGCTTCTTCCACAGTGTACACTAGCAGGGCAGTAATTACTTACAATAGGGCTGACATGCATGCAAATTGTTTGCACACATGCTGAGAGCGATGTTCATAACAGCTTACAGACCTCCTTGACCCCTGACCCTGAGCATCGCTGAGCATTCCAGGCATGGTCGCTAAGTGTTAAGGGTTCCGTCAGCCGCCCCCCTCTTCTACGTCGAGAGCCAGCAGTGTCACCTGATTGTCGGTTTTGCTCGGCAGAACGTTTTCCCCGGTGCTGGTCCTCTGCCTTGTTCTGTTTTATATTACTCTATTCATGTCCCCCTTCCTGGCCCCTATACATCTACTTATTTATGGGTTACTCCATTCCTGTGACTGTCTGTGCATCTGCGTGTGTGTGTGTGTGTGTGTGTATGGCCCCTCCCTCCTCCTGAACGCCGGCTATCCGACGGGTCCCTGTTTTCTCACAGGAACTCATTACGAATACAGCCGCAGAAAGACAACATACAGAAAAGTAGTGATAAAAAAAAAAAGACACGTCAAGCATTAAAATGAGGCGCGGCTACCAGGCACAGCGCCCACACGCATGGTCCTCTCCCAGCTGCCCTCTGACTCAGTCTCGCGCGCTTCCATGCCAAGGAGAGGTCACCGAACTGGCAAAGAACATGACAGGCCAATTCAACTCCTCCAGAAGTGGTCCCTCCTCCTTACTATGAAGGACGCCCTCCCCATGGTAGCCGTATGGGGGGAATTAGGACGATTCCAATGGCCCCTGACTGACAGGGGCCCTAAAAATTTTCCCAAACATAATTGGATTGATCTGGGTTGAGGGTCTAGAATGATACACTTTCATAGGGCCAAAAATCTGTAGCAGTACCTCTGTTCCCATCATATCCCCTGGGAAACCCAAATATTAATCCCAGTTCAGTCTTGGCCCCAACTGTCCTCTTTAAGGAACAACAGGGCTTAACAGAGAGCCATGAATAGTGTGAGAGATACAAGCAAAACTAAAAATTCCTCTACAGGATCTGCTGGATCGCAGGAGGTCATCCAAACTGGAGTGAAGTAATAATTTCCCAGTTTGTCATAATGACAGAATATTCTGGAAGGATGTCAAGAAAATAAATAGGTGGTACTGTTGTGAAGTTGGCAGTGGTATCGGGGTTCTGGAGAACTTCCCTCAAAGGCTGCGTGGATCAGCACCAAGATGTCAGCAGACCAGCGTGTTTTCATGCCCTCGTGACAGCCACACTTCGAAGGTCTGTGATGTTCCCTGGATTCTGAAAGCCTTGTGCGAAGAAAGACCCCCGGTTGGGTGCCCGCCCAGCTGTCTATATCCGGCAGAGGCGTTCTGTCCCTCGCTCCCTTTCATTGCTGTGCACACACTGTCACATTTTAAAAGCAGCCAGAGGCTGATGAAGCGGTCGGCCAGGCGGCGGTCGTCTCATGGGGCGGTCGTCACATGGGGTGGTCGTCACATGGGGTGGTCGTCACATGTGTCGCGCCTGTGGCATTCTGGTGGGTAGCTGGTGCCTCGGAGGGATGCTAACGGAAAACATGCAGCAGGATTTCAGCACCAGCATCTGCTCTGGAAAAAGAGCCAATTCTCACGGCTCAGCCAGTGCGTCACTAACTAAATGAGGAAGAAAACAGGGCAGTAAGAGACAAGAGGTCAAGGGTCCTGACAAACCGTCCTTCACAGGCCATAAGAAGTTGTAGGGACAAGTGAGGGCAGAGCA